ATATAGAAAAAATTAGCCGGGTATGGTGGCACATGCCTGTAGTCCCAGCTACTCGGGAGGCTGAGGCAGGAGGATTGCTTGAGCCCAGGAGTTTGAGGTTGCTGTGAGCTAGGCTAACGCCATGGCACTGTAGCCCAGGCAACAGAGTGAGACTCTGTCTCAAAAAAAAAGAAAATGTCTTCAATACAGTTTATCCAGGATAGAATTATAAATGCTACAGCACCCATTTGGTTTAATGACATGATATCTAGTGACCAATTTGACTAATTTATTGTTCCTTTTGATTTCTAGATTGGTAACTTTATACAATCATAGAATGTCAGATATAAAAAAAAAATCATCTATTTCATCATACAGACAAGGTAGATGACCAGAAGCACAAGCATCTTGCCCAACATCACACAGCAATTTAGTATCAGAGTTGGAATTCACACAGTACTTCCAAATTTAAAGCCCCAATTACTCCCACTTCACCATGTTCTGGGTGCCTAGCCTGGGCAATTTCACATTCTTTTTTATCTAGCAAATGTCATCTGCTTGGGGCAGGGACCAGCTGTAGTTCATCATTGTGTCTCCAGTGCCTGGCACGTAGACTAATGCCCTCTGTGAATGTGTGGTGAGAATGATGGATGACACAACAGCAAATATCCCCACTATACAGAAGAAGAAACTGAGGTTCAGATAGATTGGAGTATATGCCCCACGCTACATGGCTCACGAGTGGCCAAGCCAAGATTCGAACCTCATCCTTCTGGTTCTGGAGGCCATACCCGGCCTGCCAGAAGAAGCGCCTATATAAGACACCAGGCCATGGCAACATGGAAAACAGTCACAGTGTCCAGTCTCAAAGAGGGACTCTTTGCTGCCTCCTGCTAGTGCTGGAGGCGAGGACGCTGCGGGAGGACCAGGTAAGCAGCTGGAAGCCACGACAGGTGTATAGGAGAAAGGAAGACCCATCCCGGCAAGGCCCACCTCACAGAGGGGCCTCAGGCCCCCATGGCCAAACCAGTACGTACACACTTGGACGTCAGCGAACAGCCTTGCTGGGGGCCAGGAGAGAGATCCGTTCTGGGAGTTCTGCCAGAGCTGGAGACAAGGCTGCCAGAGGGAGACCAGGCCAGGGGGAGGACAGATGTGGCCAATGCTCTGCCAGAGGCCACGCTGGCCCCGGAGAGTCAGTCCTCCAACCAGAGCCGTGACTCTATTCCAAGCTCAGAGTGTTTCGGTTCCCAGATTAGACCATGGAAAAGTGGTTCCATGTGCACTTTCCGGCTCAGTCGCTTACTCAACAACCCCCACGAGCCCCTCCCCAAGCCCAGAATCACAGGGCAGCCCTTTCGTGTCAACGTGAGGATGTTACTCTTTATTTTCTTCTTTCTTGAACATATAAAAATAACTCTGCCTGACCCAAATATCCGTGTGAACTCTCAAGAAGCTGGGCTTAAACATGTTTGCACGTCAGCCCCAAAGCAATCCCACATGTGGCTGCTGCAACGAGGTGTCCTCTACGTGGCGAGTGGCTGCCTCCCCCAATCCCAGGGACGCCCGTGGAAGGAAGGAGTTAGCACATATGCAACCCCTTCCCAAGCTCTGTTACATGGGTCTCCTCATTTAATTTGTCATTCTAATTTTGCAGATGAAAACCCTAAGGCTCAGAGAAATGTGACTAGTTCGATGTCATGTATTCACTCAACAAATGTTGGTCATGTCCACCAATGTGCCTGGTATGGATTTTTGCAAAGAGAAACCTTGTAATCTTTTTTTCCTGCTATATAAAGTGATTCCCTAATGGATTCTCTCAGTGTTTTCCAAAGTGCCTAAGATAGGAAGACTAATTCTATGAGCTGAAAAGGCATTTGGAAAAAATGAGTTCTACGTACAAATTAGCCGGGAAATCACTGATTAAACAACAGTTACTTAGGAAGTCACTGATTAAAGAAATTAAACAACACAGGATTCAAAATCTTAAACACAGAATTTTTCAGAGCTTTTAATTGGCTAAAGTATATTTGACTTTCCCAAAGGAGTATAGAGTATAGACTCTCCCAGTGCAGTATTTTCTCAAAGTTATGAGTTAGAGTTCTAAGAAAAACTGTTTTGGAAGCACTTCCCTAACATATTAGGTTGAATAATATGAAATTGCCAACATTTGGCTGATTTGATCTATAAACCATATGGTTTAATCTAATATAGATGATGTAGATATAGATACAGATAGATATAAAAGGGGTTTTTCATGTGTTTGTGCCTCCTTTGTTGTATTTCATAATGTGATGTGGCTACTGGCCTGTGAACTCCTTGAAAGTCACTTGGTTTGTAGCCACTGTTGGGGCTAGAAGCAGTCCTGGGAGTGCTGGCAAAGTCTGTGTCTGCCCTTCCATAGTGTGGAGCTGTCATGGGGAGCAGCTGCCTAACCAGACTATGTTCCATACTCTCCTATGTCCAGGTGGGTCTGGGGGCAAGTGTCCACTATGGAATGTGAGTGCAAGTGACAGATGTCACTGCCAGGTGAAGGCAGGTGAGAATCAGGTGTGCCTCCTCCACCTTCTTTCTTGCCCACTTTCTGGCTGAACACAGAAGACGCCAAGGCCCTAGAGGTTGGCAGATCCACAAGATGGAAGGGGGCTCTGTCTTTGATTCACCACCTGGCAGGAAGCTACCTACCAACCAGGAACACCCACATTGAATTACTAGCAGAAGGGGAAAGAGACTGATTACCTTAATGCACTGAAATGTGGGGGATCTTGTTGTTGCCATCATTGCCATCATAGGAGAAAGCGTTATCCTAACTAATACAATAAAGTGGGGAGGGGGCGGGGAGAGTGGCCACCCAGGACCCTGAAGATGGTGACAATATAGAGCAAAAGGAGACCAACCTCAACAAGGCCCACTGGCCAGGATGGCCAGACCGGGCTCACATGTTTGGAAGCCAATGTCATTTGCAAGGCATATGGTATGAATGAAGAGCTGTGCTGATTGCTAGGGGTATTAATGAAAATGCTAATCATTTGGTTGAGATGTCCTTGGCATCTCCCTCTCCCCCAACCACCATGGCCAATCTGTCCCCACCAAGGCTATTGACCCTGCATCCTCTGTTCCATGGCTCTCTCTCCTCCTTTTCATTTCCGCCCTGGATGCACTCTCTTCTTCAGATTTCCCAACACCCATCTCACGTCAAGCCCTCCAAAGCCCCATAGATGAGCATTTCCAAGGGATTTTCTTATCATGGAAAAGCTAGCCATCTCTGTCCCTGTTTAAACCCCTAAGGGGCCCCCACTATGCTCCAGATGAGGTCCGGAGTCCCTGGCCTGGCGGTCAGGGCTTTGCAGGAGCCAGCCCTCACCTCCTTCCCCAGCCGTCCACCTCCAGGTCAAGCTGCCAGGACCCCATGCACTTTTGTCTGCATGAGCCCCTGCCTCCAATAACAGCAACATTAAAAGTCATCATTAGTATGATTTTAAATACGTCAGGATTTCTGTTTCATTTTTAGACAAAATTTAATAGATTTCCATAGCCCCTAAAAATTTCATTTTTGTCCTGATGTAAGAAAAAAAATTAAAACATTTTTCTAAAAAATTAAGACATTTCAATGTTAGGTGTTTTTTTTCCCTGAATTTGAAAGAAATTAAAACTTTTTCTTTGTCCCCTGAAAGGCACGTGGCCCTCGGCACTGTGCCGCTGTGTCTGGGGGACAAGTCTCCGTCCTCGCTGAGATCCTGCCTCCCTTCCCCACGTCCATCCTCTGGGATGTCGCCTTTGCCCCTAACTTGAAGAAGAACTAGAGCGCTTCATTTGTATTTTCTCTCCCCACCATGTCCATGGAAGAGGAAGGCTCTCGGCTTCGGGAAGCACTTGTTAACATGCAGATTCGCAGCTCTGCCCCTAGGTCAGGATTCTTTAAGTCTGGGGTAGAGCCCTGGAATAGCTGGACTTCAACAAGTCTCCCCAAGCGATTCTGAGACAGGTCACCCACACACACACTGAACCTTGAGAAACCCACTCTGGGGAGTCCTGTGTGTGCTGTTGGGATGTCATCATGTCCCCTACAAGAGCAAAGACCATGTCACGTTCATCTGTGTGTTCCGCTGCTCAACACAGCGCCCGGTGCCGGTGGGTACTTAGAACACGTTGAATTGAATTGAGCTGAACAAAAGGGATACAAACTTCTTCTCTTCTCCTGCACTTTACTTTCACATCAGAATGTGGTGGTGGAAAGAGCAGCAAACATTTGATCTCCTCCAACCTTCTGGGGAAATTTAAAACACAGCAGGTTCCCACCTGGAGAATTAGACAAGTAAGTCCTCACCTTCTGAGCTGGGCTTGAGCAAAGTAGGGAGAGACTAACCTGGGTGTGAGTCTGGACTTCACCACCTCCTAACTGTCACCGTGGGCCTGTGCCTCACATTTTAAACTTTCCATTTCTGTCCCAATAAAAAAGAAACAGTACAATGCCTTGCATGTAGAACATGCACAGCGTTAATCCTCTTTCTTCTTTTCACATGAATAGAGCAAAGGGCACTAGACTCAGAGGAGTGAAGCCTGACACTTCTACCAGGCCAACCATTCAGAGGCACCTGGCAGAAAGCAGGAACTGCACACATGCCTGCCAGACAGGTGAGTGCTGGAGCCCTGTCTCCCAGGCAGCTGCAGGCTCTGCTCTCACCGCCTCACCTGGATCCACCTCCGATAGTGAGAAGGTGGCTGTCCTCTGGAAAGTGGACTGCATGTTGCTGTCTCTACCATGTGGAGTGAGAGCCAGGCTCTAGAGGGGCAGAAGAGACTGTGCCCCCCACCCTACTGGATCTCCCCAAAAGAAACATATTTCCCCACAGGAGAAGCAGAGAGGGGTAGCCATGAGCCTGCTGGCCCGACGCCCGCCAGCAAATTGGCCTCCAAACCAGGCAGGCAAGACAGTTGACCTTACAGTCCTTTCTGCTGATCTTTGAAAATAACACAGAGGAGAAAACATTTACCTCCCCCAAAGCAAACATCTGCTTTGCTATTTCTGAGGATGAGCCCATGGAGAGTGCGCTCCCTCCATGCGGGCTCCCAGGAGAAGTCAACAACGCGTGGGGTGGTTCCCGATGAAGAAGGGCCAAGTTCCCAGGGAGGCCCCCAGCCACCCCTCCCTCAAGGAAAACATCAAGGACCTCTTTACACACCTGCTCTTCCTTCTTTGGGCCCGGGACAAATCCTGTCTCTGAGATGGCTATGTCACTGCTGATCCCATCTTATGAGGTGAGTGTCATTTTATTCATTTCAGCCTCGGGGTTGTGAGGGCACCTCTCAGTGGCCCTATTATTCTATAATGCCTGCACTCTTCAGCTAAAATAAACTGCAGTGCCGAAAAGAGCAAGAAATGTGCTCACATACTCACAAAACGTCACCAGAAGGATGGTTGTTATTTAGAGAGGAAAGAATTCGGATCCGTGCATTTTCAAATCACAGAATTATGACATCTGAAGGTTCAAAGAACCTTGAACTTCTAGGCTTCAACTCAACAACCTCCCAGGATTGTTGTGAGAATTAAGCAAATGAACTGCCCCAGATTACCTGTGGGAGGCCACATTAAAAAATAATTACCCACTAACGATTTACCATGTGTGATAGAAACTGTTGGCTGACTGGCCAAAGCTATTTCCTTCTCACTTTTTCATGGTGACAGCTACACACACACACACACATACACACACACACACACACACACACACACACAAAGAAAGAGAGACAGAGACAGAGAGCTAAAGAGGCAGGGCTTGCATTTTCCCAGCCTTCCTTGCAACTAGGAGTGCCCATGTGACTTTGTTTAATTCAGTGATATGTAAGGAAAAATTTACTGGAGCACTCTGTGGAAAATGTTCTCCCCTAAAAAGAGAGATGAAGAGAGAGACGATACTCTGGCATCTCTGTCCAGCCCTTGGCTTCCTGCCTTTGGAAATAGCTATTTGAGGATTAAAGCTAAGTAGCCTTATTTAAATCATGAACCAACAAGCCGGAAGACAAAAGCCAGTGCTCACAGAAAAGAGGAACAGAAGGGTGGAAAGAGGCTGGATGGTTTTTGTTTGTTTGTTTTTGTTTGTTTGTTTGTTGAGCCACTGAACCATCCTGGAACTGCCTACTCTAAAGCTATTGTTAGTCAGGTGTTCTATTACCTGTAGTCAAAATTGTCTCAGCTGATGCCTCACACATTACCAAACCCCAGTATAATAACATCTTGAGATAGGAAGGGACCATATGGGGAGTCGCTGAATCAAGGGTTAAAAGTAGAAAATAAACCTTTCCAAAAACTGGAAAATATATAAGTGAATGTTGAATATTATCAACATATCCCCTTGTGAATGCCTCTGTTTGTCAAATAGGAATGACGTCTACCTCATGGGATGGCTCTAAGAATGAGATGAGATAATACAATACGTGTAAAGTTAAAAGTGCCAGGCACATAGCAAGCACTACCTAATTATAGCTATCATGTTAATCAGTAAAAAACACAACTTTCTTTAATAAAGAATATGAGTTTGGGCAGGGCATTAGGCTTGGAATCAGAAAACCTGGCTTCTAAACAGATACTTCTCCCCTTTGATCACATATCAATTTTTGTGGCTGTTTTAGGACAATGAAATCTCAGTATAATATATTCCCTATGTCAAGGAGTGTTGAAAGTTTGATGAATCCGATGAATTTTGAGTCATCGCATGTTGCCAATTCAGTAATGAAATAAATGTATCATTGGAAGTCTTAAAAGGCTAAAAAAAAATACACTTGTAAATAAAATGGAACATTTTGGTTATGCAACTAAGTCAGAGTCTGGATGTTTTTAAATAATTTCATATGAAATTAGTTTTCCTTTCCTGAAACAATAGCTACACAATAACAAGGCTGAGCAGGAAAGCAGAGCGGAAGGAGGAGCTGGAGTTTATGGGGTCTAGTTTTAGTCTTCGCATAACCTTGGGCAAGTCCTTTCCTGTCTCTGAGCCTCAGTTTCCTCATTTGTGAATTGAGGGAAGGAGCCTAGAGCTAGGAAAGAACACTCCTTGGCATGTGACCTGAAAATAGTCCCTTACTTTCTCTGATCCCCAACTCTAAACAAACTCACCAGAAAGCTCAGAAGATCAAATGTCAGAACATATGAAAAAATTCCTGGCAGGAATAGAGCCTTAATAAATGTTGGTTGAACTCTACGTTGTCCATCCCAGCTCCAATATCTACAGGTCTACGTTAAATATGGCCTACAAAGGAATAAAGGAGAGGGCGTGGTCTTGGTCCCACAAGACCTTGCCCCAGGCAGGATGGCTTGGGCCCCACCAGGAGGCCAGGACTCCCTATGAACAATCAAAAGGGCCTTGGATATCCTTTAGTACAAGGGACGTTTATTAGAGTCAGGAAACAAAGAAGGCCCAATAGGGTTCCCTGGGTCCTGGTGTAAGAAATATTGGGCAGCAAATATGGGGCAGGTGTGAGCTCTGGGAAGCAGACGTCCATGGGACATCTTCAGTGTCTCAACATCCATTGTCAGAGTCCCCACTGTTACAAGGGCAGGTCAGGAAGCAAGTACCGAAAATGACAACATTGACTAAAATTAACAGCCATTCAAATAGCATTCCCCACACACACACATGCTGTTTGACACTAAAGATAATGACCCACTAAGACATGGATGAGATGAGTGAAGGGCCTCTCCTTCATGGTCAAATGTACCACTCCTAGTGACACAAGGAATATACGATGCGAATGGCCTGCAGAGTAATACTGCAATTTACAAAAGCTGCAGATGTCATGAAGTCTGTGAAACTGATTCTAATCATAAGCAAAGTCACCAATCAATGATAATCTGGCAGAGTTAGACACGTTGGCAGATGACAGAGTTAGTTATGTTAGCTACCAAGACAAGAAAATCAAAAAGGATAATGACATGATAGAAACATTCTCTCCAAGGAGAATGTTTCTAATATAAATGAAGCTCAAGGAAAAATTAATAAAACTTCTATCATATTTGCACAAATTACCCTTGTTCTTGCCCATGCTGCAAAGGTTGAAGGTGAAGAATGCATTTTGTCCAAGCATACGATGTCATCAGGGAAACTGCATTGAAGAAACCAACATTTGATTCATTCTTGGTGCATTATAATCATATACATGTAATTGCAATGCAATCTCAATTTTGTTAAATGTAAGACAAAATAAACATGATGATCATATTTTGTTCATTTTTCAAAATTAATTTTCCACCAAAAAAAAATTTTCCTTTTTTAACTTTTCACTCTGAACTCACTGCCATTGTTTTAAGTTTATTCATTTTAAGTGAGTAGTTTTGGACATGAGGACCTCTTTCATATGGTCAGACAAACAATAACCGACCCAAGCCATCACTGAGGAATGAATATGAGCACACTGATCCAGGGGAAGGAAAGACGGCCTATCAGCAAAGGAGACCCCATATGCAAAAGCAGAAAAATATAAAAGTATATTTGTTTTTAAAAGTGATTTTTAACCCTTGAGGTAAAGGGAGCCTCTTTGAGAGTCCAGTACAAGATACAGGTACTATCTTCCAGAGAAACACTCCTAGGCACAAGCACACAAAAATAGATGTCAGGTGGCCCACGACCTAATTACTGCCCTCAATACCACTGAGAGGAGTTGAGACCAAAGCTGAATCATTCATTTCTCTCTGCACCTCAGTTTTGACTTCTGTGAAAGTAGAAAAATGGACTCGATTATGCCTCAAATCTCTTACAGTGCTCTATAAAAAGACAAGCTAGTAAGCAACTAACTCTCAACGAACTTCTATAGCATCCCAGACCTACATATACATCACCTCATTTAACACATGCAGCATCCCTGTGAGATAAGTACTGTTGTTGGCAGTTTAGGGATAGGAAAACTAAAGGTCAAAAAAGTCAGTGTTATAGTAGAAAGAATTTGGGCTTTCAAACCTGGGTTTTAGTAGGTTAAAATACTTATAGTGCTAGTTACCAAATTGCCTTTCAGCACCCTGTTCACCCTTCATTGCCCTGCTTTGTGATGCTTGAGCGGGACCCTGAGAACATGTCCCCTTTGCCAGCTGGCGTAGTGTTGAGCTTTGTCACTAGAGGGCACTAGAGGCACACTACAAGAGGAAGAGTCTTTTCTTCCTGGTCCCACCTGCTCGCTTTCTTCTTGCTCCTGCGGTGAAAGCACCAGCATGTACAGGACACCCAGGGGTGCTCACAGCTCAGCACGTCTGTCTGGCATCCCAGAGAGCAGCTTCCCAGCAAACTCAGCAGCACTTCCATGAGCAGCTCCCCAGGAAGCCTTAGTCCCACCCCAAGGATGAATCCCTTGGAGAATGCTGCTAGCGCCACAGGGCTGGTTTCCCACTTGTGGCACCTCAGCAAATCTGTCATCCAGCAGGCTACAGCCACACCCCTCCAGTGAGGTCTGAATCTCAGCCTTGGGGGAAGGGGTGGGATTTGTTCATTCCTTGGGAACCCTGCCCTGGAGGCAGTAATGCTCCCAAATTTGACTATTCTTGCATTCTGTAGCGTTATCTTTGTCCTTTAGTAGTTAATCTTTCCTGTGACTAGTGAACAACTCTTCCTATTATTAAACTTTCCCTATTCAAAATAAAGTGGTTTCTACCTTCTGACTGGACGCACACTGATACATTTTGAGAGAGTTTAGAAGAGGTCACTTACTCCCTCTGAGCTTCCACCACTCCTTCTTCTGCAAAATGAAAATAATAATATCTCTCTTGTCAAATTGTCAGGAAAAAATAGAGCTGCTATAATAGACAGCAGTTAGAATGGTGTTGGTGACAAGCACTCAGTAATTGAAGCTTTTATTATTATTTTGATTAATTTATCCAAAGTCACACAACGAGTAAATGATGGAGCTGCAGTTGAATTGGGATTTAAATGACTCTAAAGATCCCTTTCTTTCCACAGCTAAAACGTTAACGCGTAACAGCTAGATGTTAAAACATCTATCTCCTGAAAAAACAGGAGCACTTTGAAGGCAGCCAGTGGCGAGGTGAAGAGCATGGGTATAGGAGCCAAAAACTCTGAAGCCTGCTGCCAGCATGTCCCAATTGTGTGTCCTCGGGCAAGTGATCCCCCCTCCCTGTGCCTTGGCTTCCTGTAGAAAGGGGATAACCTTTAAAAATGTTGGGGGCCAGAAAACATGTCAAATCACTATCATTAATAAAAATGCCCTCCCCTTCCACGTAGCCCATAGGCAAACGAGCAGCAACCCAAGAACCCGGCACTTCTCCCTCAAAAGGCAAGAGGCCACAGCCACCCTTGTTGCCAGGCAGCTCGGCGAGGAGCGTGACCAGACCCGCCTGCCGTTCTGGGGGAGACCCCAGCTTCTGTCTAAGGATGTGTGAAGTGGCACCTGAGGTGACAGAGGGCCAAAGGGGCAAGTGACCAGGAACCTTTTGAGGAGCTGCTGACCTGGGATAAGAATGATAATAACATCAACGGCTGTTTGCCAAGCCCCCGCCTGTGCCACCACAGTGCTAGCCCCTTCACACGCGTCACTGCATTTCTCGCGCTCCTGAGAGGCGGTATTAAATCTGGTGGCTTCTGCTGCAGATGGCTCTGGGCTACGACTAAGGCTGGCTCTGTGACCTGGGACAAGGCACCTCACCTCTCTGAGGAGTTCCATAAAGCAGAGACAGTAACAGTGCCCACCTCGCAGAATCGGTGGGGCAGAGACAACGTGAAGTGTTAAACCACACCACCCTGCACGGAGCCTCCGGACTCTGGGCAGAAGTTGCAGCAGGGAGTGAAAGTTCAACCAGGACAGTCTGGCCTCTGAACAGCAGCTCTGGGCTCAGGTTTCTTGAGGAAAAAGACAATTAGGCCCAAACACATTCAAAAGGTGTCTCTGGATCAAATTGGCTCTTGGTCAAATTATGAAAAACAAAAGAGTAACTAATTTTTTGTGAGCACTTTGTGCCTAACTGAGCATGCCACATAGAGTAACTTACATGTCATCCTAACCCAGCCTACCTCTATAAATAATATTCATATAACACTACATATCAGCCGGGTGAGGTGGCTCACGCCTGTAATCTTAGCACTCTGGGAGCCCAAGGCAGAAGAATCTCTCAAGCTCAGGAGTTTGAAACCAGCCTGAGCAAGAGCAAGACCCTGACTCTACTAAAAATAAAAAGAAATTAATTGGACATCTAAAAATATATAGAAAAAATTAGCCGGGCATGGTGGTGCATGCCTGTAGTCCCAGCTACTCGGGAGGCTGAGGCAGGAGGATGGCTTGAGCCCAGGAGTTTGAGGTTGCTGTGAGCTAGGCTGACACCACAGCACTCCAGCCTGGGCAACAAAGTGAGGCTCCGTCTCAAAAAAAAAACCAAAACAACAACAACAACAAAAACCACTACATATCTATTTAGTTCCTTTCAGTTGAAAGCAAACCTTCACATCTATAATGTTCTTTTATCCTTATCACAAGTCTAGGAGGTGAAAATTACGATTATTCCCAGCTTACAGAGGTGAAGACAAGCCTGGAGAGGTTAGGTGACTTGCTTATTGCAAAGAGAGGTTGGTGACAGAACCAGAGAAGCCAGGGCTCCAACGTGAGGACCCACGCTTTCAACTACAGGACCCTTCTCCTGGCTCTTGCCCGCCAACACACACACCCTCTGCCCACAGGTTCCTGCTTCACCCAACCCCCCTGCCCCTCTTAGGCAAGGCCCTTCCTCTGCTCCCCCATCTCCTCCCCACAGACTCTGTATTCCCAATTACAAAGTCTTGGTTTGAGGGTAGGCTCTGCCACAAACTGGCTGCATAATCTTGGAAAATCACTTCTGCTCTCTGAAGCTTAGTAGCCTCACCTGTAAAATGAGGAGAGAAATGGTACTAAATAATTAATTTCTACGGGCCCTTCTAGCAATAAGTGGTCTGAGCAGAAAACTGCTGATAAATTCATTTATACTAAGATGTGACTGATTGATAAGGAGGTTTGCTCTGTCATCTCATTAAAGAAGCTGCTTTAAACAGTAGAGGGCTTAAGAGGTTATTATTTAGCCAAAGGAATGACTATCATTATAGAAGGAAAGAATGGAAGGTACCTGGGGCTACCTAGCTGCAGTGTTTTGGACAATCTGGGGGAGAGGGATTCCTGAAACTGTTCAGGTCTACTCTGCCCCTCTACTCCCATGAGGTTCTGGGACTCCCTCTTACACACAGCATCCTTCAAGCCCCACAGAAATCACGTCCCCTCCATACTTAAGATTCTCTTGACCTCCCCACAGGTGACAGCAAAAGTTCTTCACCTGCTCCAACACCACCCTCCAGATTTAGCCTCTACTATTTGCCTTCGTGTTTACTCTGAGCTTATCATCTCTCTGCACCTCTGACACATACAAGCTCTTACAAAAGCCCTCCCAATCCTCTTATTCACATTCCTTCTCTCTCTCTCTCTTTCTTTTGCTTTCTCTCTCACACACACACACCCAAAAACAACAACAACAAAAAGAAGCAGGATCACCCCTTCCTGCACAGGGAAGGAACTCTGAACTTGGCCTTTGGCGCTGGCATCTCCCCTGGCACGGCCCCCGCTGAAGAGGCACCCTGCTCAGGACCCAACTGCCCAAAGCCCCTCTCTCTGCTCCCCCACACCCCAACCAGCCCCAAGGCCTCTCATGCCATGGCCCAAAGTGAGCTGTGCTCACAATAATGAAGACACGATGTTTTCTAAGTACCGAGTCATGCTCTCAGGTGACGGAGGAAAATGCAGAATGTCTGACAGCTCTTGGGCTTGGACAGAGCTGACTCCAAGAGCTTCCTGGAGGATGGGGGAGGAAGCTGGGCCTGCAAACGCAGCACCCTCCTCCTCAGGCACAGGGGAGGGGGCTGGGAACGTTTATGACTGAATCACTTCTGTACCCCACCCCGAGATGTAGTTGTCCCCCCCATACTGAGGGAGCATTTATTTAGCCACATTCCTCATCCGGAATTTGTAATTAACACTGACGAGGACTTATGCTGAGCGGGGTCTGTGATAAGTGCTAGACATACATTAATGCACTTACACCTCACACAACAACCTTACAAGGTAAACTTTATCATGATCACTGTTTTTGCAGGTGAAAAAACTGAGGATGAGGAGAATTTAAAGTGACTTGCCCAAGGTCACCCAGCAGGTAAGCAAGGAGGTTGCATACAACCTGTGTGACCCCCAAGCCCAGGAGTGATGGAGCCACCAGCGTCCACCACCTCCCCTGTCCTCACTTTTAGACTCAGAACCAAGTTCAAATCCTGGCCCCACCGTTGACTAACTATGACTCCAGGTACGTCACACAGTGTCTCTGGCCTCCACTTCCACGCTTGTGAAATGAGGACGACAGCATCTGTTTGGCAGGGTTGTAAGGACTACAAAGGACTACCTAGCGCACTGCCTGGCCCATAGTAGGTCTTTAATAAATGTCTCAGCTCTGTCTAAAATGATGGCAGTACCTTCAAAGACCAAAATGAGCCTATGAGGTGCAGCCCAAGCCCACGATAGCAAATTTGGAAAAGGCCAGGAGTAAAGCTTCTTCAAATGCAGTCCTTAGGCTGAATAAAAAATAATGTTCTCCTCCCTACTGCGGGGGTTAGCCATATGGAACTCATTTCCCTGCGAGGTGGTGCAGACTGAAGCCATACGCAGGTTCAAGCGGAGTTGAGATCGCTTGATGGATGACAGAGCCAGAAGGGGGCATTACGAATGAGTAATAACCCCTCCTGTTTGTCCCGCACTTCACAGTTTACAAAAGCTTGCCCGCTCACTATCTCGTTTGATCCTCACAGCCACCCCCAGAGGCAGACAGTGTGGTCGAGGACATCAAGAATGATGTGTACCTCTTCGACGGATGAAGGGAAACAGAGGCCAAGAGAAGCGTGCCATGCCCTGGGCTCAAAGAGACCCTTTCCAGAGGGTCAGAGGAAAACAGCAGTGGTAATACTGCACTCCATCCTCCAGCCAGGGCGGGACAAGGGTGAAATGAGAAGACACACTCGGGGCACAAAATGTAGGAGGCAAGCATGCACAGGGGAGTATTCCGTAAATCCACCCGGGAACGAACCTTGGTCCCAGCCCCACTTGCCAGGCTCTGTTCTAAATGCTTTATAGCATCTTAACTTATGTAAGTTCTCACAGCATACACAAAGTAGGGCCACATCATCAGCTTTACAGACAGGGATAGCAAAAGCCTGCGTTAGAGCTGGAGGAGAGAGGGGTGAAGCGGCGCTCAAACTCTCCCAGGAGACCCACACTCGCCTACTCCACTGGGCTGCCTGCCATGGTCTCCAGGGCTCACAGCACGGCCTTCCAAGAAAGCCCGTGAGCAACAACTACAGAAGAAAGGAACTGACATCCAACGTGTCCCTGAAATACATTCAGATAATTGAATCTGCAGTAGTTGTCTCACATATAGTTGCCGTGAACACTGAATTCAGTGAATACTGAACCATCTCCTAGGGCGAGACACAGGTTGGATCCCTGTGAGCTCCTGTCAAAGCGTTTTCATCAACTGATCAATAGCCATAACCCTGTTTATGTTTTCTATGAAATCACTCTTTTTAATTATTAGTTGATTCATCGGCATTGACTCAGGCTGGCCGAGTGGGCTACAGTCTGTACCTATAATCTCACGCTTTGGGAGCCAAAGGCAGGCCGGCCCGTGAGGGATCGCCTTTTGAGCCCCAGGGGTGTCAGAGCTGCAGTGAGCTATGAGCAGCCACTGCACTCCAGCCTGAGGTACAACAGAGCAACATCCCTGTCTCACAAAAAAAAAAAACTTTTTTTTTTTTTTTTTTTGAGAGCAGAGTCTCACTTTTGTGCCCACCGGCCTAGAGTGAGTGGCCGTGGCGTTCAAGCCTGGCTCCCACAGCAACCTCAATCTCCGGGGCCAGCCGATCGCTACTGCTCCAGAACTCCGCCGAGTAGCTGGGACTAAGGCATCGCGCGCCACATATGCCCGGCTAATTTTTGTATATATATTTTGAAGTTGGTCAATCTTAATTTATTTCTATTTTTGGTAGAGACGGGGTCTTCGCTCAGCCTGTTTTCGAACTCCCGAGTTGAAGCAATCCGCCCGCTTGGCTCCCCAAAGTGCTAGGATTACAGGCGTGAGCCACCACGCCTGGCAAAAAAAAAAAAAAACTTTGAACTTAACATCCAGCAGCACTGCAACTCATGCCTGAACAAAGCTTACCTAACACACGTACTTCCTCTGTAAAGCACACCGCAGCCTCTTGCACTTAGGAACGCCAGACCAACCGCACTTCAGCAAAATCACCAGCAAAAAGCATGGAAGTGTGACACTAAATAGATCGTGAAAAGGACACTTGTTTACAACATAAACTGAAACAAGAAGGCAGGGCGTTGTGTTGTTCAACCTCAGCTAGGAATGTGTACATCAAGTGCCAAAAGTACTATGAGGATTCATTTGGGGATTACAACTGAATTTTAGCAAGCAGGCAAATTTGCAAGTAGGGAATCCATGAATAATGAAGATCAATATATATGTACACTCGCACACACAATTATTACACCCACTTTATAGAGGAGACACAGAGGCCCAGGGAGGTCCAGCAACCTGCTCATAGCCATGCAGGTCGTAAGTGGCAGGATTTGAACCCACAGTCATTTCTCCCAGATTTCCCTCCTTCAAAGAGGAGCACGTTTGGGTCTCTTCCATCATTCCAGGCCCCCCTTTTAGGAACCCCAAAGAGCTCAGTGTAGGGTCAGTATTTGGAAGAATCAGGAGACCAAGGTTTGGGAGCCAATCTGACTCTCAGTTTTCTCATCTGTAAAATGGAGACGACAGCTCCTGACGCACAGGAGGGTTGCCAAGGTGAGCTAATGAACTTGCAAGTGCTTGAGATGTGAGCTATTGACTTCACTTCCACCTGCAGACAGGCCTTTTCCATCAAGACTAATGCTTCCGTTACAGCACTCTCCCACTGAGGAGACTGGGGTAGACCCAGGCCCTTCTCCACCTGGGGCTGTGAGAAGAGCGTGCGAACACCCCCCAGAAAGGACTGTGCTTTCTCAAGTGGACCATCATCCCTCACAGACCCTTGCCTTCCTCCAGAGCCAAAACACAGCTCAAAGTTTATTTTTAGAAACACAAATAATTTTTTCTCCCTTTTCTTTCCAGGGTTCAACAGTGCAAAGATGGCTTTGAAGAGAGGCCCGCCTTGGCAAACTGAGCGTGTGGCACCGTGGAAAGATCCCATGCTTGGAAGGTAAGCAGCACTGGGCCCACCTGCCAATGCTAATGCGTGACCCCACTCACCTGCTCTGACCCGCAGTTTTCTTACGGCAAAATGCACTGGGTAATGGATTTCAGAATTAACTGAGTTAAAGTCCTTTGCACTGTGTTATCCCAAGCATGTCCTTGGACCAGCAGCACAGACATCACCTTTTAGAAATGCAGGAACACAGGCCCAGGCCAGACCTCCTGAATTGGAATCTGCCTTTTAACAAGACCCCAGGTGGACATGGCAGTGTGTGCAGCACTGCCCTGGCACCCTGCCCAGCACACAATAGGTGCTCAATAAACAGTAGCTATTGTTGTTATCATTATATGGGTCCAACCCTAAAATTGTTTACAAATGACAAATGTGAGCACACAGATAATTAAGGCAACGCCGGGGCATTTTGGAAAACTAAGGAAAACATTCTGAGAGTAAAGAGGAAACAGTGATTGCAACATTCTGGGGGACTCAGACAAAGCACTGGACTTCATTCATCCATTTTTGGCTTTAATAATGTCCCTCCTTTCTTTAATAAATGTTTAACCTTTATTGTACACTAACTGTATTCTAAGCTCTGTTCTGGACCCTGGGGAGAGAGATTCAATAAAGACATGGCTCCTTTACTCAAGCAGTTTACTGTCTAATCAGAGTCACATGAACCGATAATCCCTAAAAATAACAGCAGTATGGTACTGAGACAGAAGCCGGTAGGCTACGGAATGATGGCTAGGGAGCTCAGAGGACAAGACTGCCCCTCAGCCTTCCTTCCCAGGGCAAAGAAAAACGCTCTGAACATTTTGCTATTTCCTATCACGCCTCTTCTCTCCTATATCTCTCTCCCCCAAACCCAGTGTTTTCACAATAGTTGGGTCATATTATATAAATCTGCATATTACCTTTTCAGCTAATATTATTACATAAGAATTGTCCTGATATACCTGAATACCCGATATACCCTGATATACCTGTCACTGATATACCCGAAACAGTGAACAAATAGAATTCAATTGGGTTGGTGTGAAAGTAATTGGGGTTTTAGCATTGTTGAAATTTGCCATTTGATATTGCAATACATTCTTAAATAAGTGTGGTTACGTTATATCATTTTCATGCCCATTTTTCACTTTGTGTTTTTTTGCTGATGACTTATTACTTGCTGTTTACTTTATATTTATTTTAGACTATGGAAATGATGTTAGGCAAAAAGCAAATTCCAGCGATTTTCTTGTACGAGTTCAAAAAGAGTCGCAAAGCAACTGAGGCAACATCAACAACACATTTGGCCCAGGAACTGCTAACAAACGTACAGCGCAGTGGTAGTTCAAGAAGGTTTGCAAAGGAGACCAGAGCCTTGAAGATGAGGAGCACAGGGGCCAGTCATCGGAAGTTGACAACAACCAACTGAGAGCAATCATTAGAGCTGATCCTCTTACAACTACATGACAAGTTACCAAAGAACTCAAGGTGGACCATTCTATCGTCTTGCAGCATTTGAATCAGATTGGAAAGGTGTAAAAGCGCAGTGAGTGGGTGCCTCATGAGCTGACCAAAAATAAAAAAAAAAAAAATTATCATTTTGAAGTGTTGTCTTCTCTTACTGCACGCAACAACAACAAATCATTTCTCGATCAGATTGTGACTGTGATGAAAAGTGGATTTTATACAACAATGGACCACAACAAGCTCAGTAGTTGGACAGAGAAGAAGCTCCAAAGCACTTCCCAAAGCCAAACTTGCACCAAGAAAAGGTCATGGTCACTGTTTTGTGGCCTGCTGCTGGTCTGATCCACTACAGCTTTCTGAATCCGGCAAAACCATTCCATCTGAGAAGTATGCTCAGCAAATCGATGAGATGCGCTGAAAACTGCAACACCTGCAGCCGGCATTGGTCAATAGAAAGGGCCCAAGTCTCTACAACGATGCCCAACTGCACATCACACAACCAACGCTTCAAAAGTTGGAGGAATTGGCTACGCAGTTTTGCCTCACCCGCCATATTCACCTGACCTCTCGCCAACCAACTACCACTTCTTCAAGCATCTCGACAACTCTTTGCAGTGAAAACGCTTCCACAACCAGCAGGAAGCAGAAAATGCTTTCCAAGAGTTCATCGGAATCCCAAAGCACGGGATTTTTATCTCCCAAAAGCCTTTACAATGCATCAAATGGGGAATATTCCTCCCCGCCTCTAGATGAAAACTATGATAGTTCTCATGAATCTTCTGTTCACTCTCACGTGACTTAAAACTTTTAAATCGCAAATGTAGTCTCAATTTAATCATTAAAGCCCCTGGAATAAACAGAGCTCCAAACTCGATTCACAGGTCGGCCACTTCCCCTACTCCTAGCTTAGGGCCCGCTGCAAGCAAGACGCTTTCTTTGTAGTCCAGTAGGTCGAGGAAAGGCAGGGTCCTTCTTCCCTCCTTCTCCACTTTACACCTTCACACTTCCCCACCTCTTGCTCATTGCACTTGCTGGCCCACCAGGGCTGGAGAGAGAGGGAAGAGGACACAAGGGAGCTCTCAACGGACTAACAAAGACGGCTTTATCACACTCTCTCAGCTCCTCAGTGTTTAAAGCGCGTTCTTTTTTTTTCTTTATATTTTTTTGGAAATAGGGTCTCGCTCTGTAGCCCAGGCTAGAGTACAATGGCATCATCATAGCTCTCTGCAACCTCAAAATCCTGGGCTCAAGTGATCCTCCTGCCTCAGCCTCCCAAGTAGCCTGGACTACAAGCTCTCACAATCGTACCCAGCAAATTTTTTATTTTTTATAGGGGGGAGTGGAGGGTCTGGCTCTTGCTCAGGCTGATCTTGAACTCCTGGCCTCAAGCAATCCTCCCACCTCAGCCTCCCAAAGTGCTAAGGTCACAGGTGTGAGCCGCCGTACCTGGCCAAAGCTTATTCTCAGAACACAGTCTCCTGGCTTCTCTAAGCGCCCACACCTGCAGTTGCCTTGACAAGGCTGCCGATGCTTTCTCCTCCAGCGTGGCGCTCACTGCTTCTGCGGGCCTGAGGACTCCAAACACACATCTCTTGCTTCTTTCTGTGGAGTCTGTTCCTCACGCCACCACTCACACCAGCTCCTGCTCACACGTGGCCCACACTTCATCCGTGGGAAATATTTGTACATTCTTTGCTCCTACAAACTCTGGGAATAAACTCAAGGCATAAAGTCAGTAGATATCAGATACCAAAGTAAACCATAAGACAGGACCCCCTGGAGGTCTTCATAGTATCATTTTCATGACTGCATGTATGTGTGCCTCCCAATATTTCTCCTTTTCTTCCACAGTTACAGTCCTCAGATTTTTAGCTGGGCACCTGGTTGTGATTATGTTTTACCACTGAGCTATGAACAAAGTGTTGTGTGAGAAATTCTAAGGGGTCTCCTGAAAGTGACACATACAGACTTCTTCCATCCTGTGGTGTGAAGTAAGGATGTGATGAATACCTGGTGCTCTAGCACCAATCTTGAGCCGTGAACAGGGGCCTCACTGTAAGGATGGCGGAGTGAAAAGTTAGAAAGAGACTGACTATTGAGCCATCAACCAAGTTTGGACTGCCTTCCTCCAGACTTCATTTATGGAGAGAAATAAGTTTCAATCTGGCTTAAAACACTATTTATTTCTTAGCTAACCCTAGTCCTAAGGGACCGTGTAATAGTCCATTACATGGCTAAACCATAGTTTATTTGATCATAGTTCTAATGTTCTCTAGGATAGTTTCCAATTTTTACTCTTAGGAATGAGTAAGATGATGAACTGTTATCCAAATTTCTCTTTATCTTCTAAGGTAGAAAATAAAATTCTTGATATAGATATAGCTCTATATTGCTTTCCTAAAGTTAGACTCTTTTGTCTTCTCAGAGGCAGCAGTGAATAGGTCATGTCAATCACATATTTAACCTGCATATGGACTTTATAACATGCCCTCCTGTATTTGTCAGCTATTGTTTCTATAGTGCTGCATAACAAACACTCCAAAACACAATAGCTTCCAACAAGTTTTTATTCTGCCCATTACAGATGTGCAGACCAACTGTGGTGCAGTTGGTCCAGGCTAGATGGGGCTAGGAAACTCCACTCCAGCCTGCCAGACAGCTGGGTATGGCTGCAGACTGTGGTTGGGTCAAGCCCTTTCCACATGTATTTATTCTGGGGTCCAGGCTGAAGGGGCAGCAAGTGCCGGGAGCATGGTCTTCTCATGGCAGATTAATCACTGGGGCCCAAGAGCCAATCCAAAACTCCCAGGAGCATGAAAATGCTCTGCTGGGACCACATCCACTAATGCTTCCCTGGCTGAATCAATCACATGGCCAAAACCAACATCAACGGGGTAGCAAAATATTCTAAGCTCACAGTGGGAGGGTGAGAAATTGAATATTTGCTGAAAGATTTTTCTAAACATTCACACCCCCTCATAAGATGAAATAAATGATCCAGGGCATGAGAGTGATACTATTTAGGGAAGTCTCAACAGCAAATACCATTTGCAAAGATAGGAAGCAACGTGGCCAGTTATCTCTAGAAATTTTCAAAAAATAAAATGTGTTAGTATGATAAAGCAAGATTTGGATTCAAAGAAGCAACATCGACTAAGCACCTACTCCGGCTCAGCCTATGCTATGTGTTTCAGAAATATCATAGCAG